AGGAGGAGCGAGCGAGGGCGGCGCGAAGCGCCGGCCGAGCGAGCGACGACGACCTGAGGATGAGAGTATTGGCTTTTAGCGGGTTGCGGGACCACAACGTAGGCAGCAACGTTTCGTCAAAAGACTCATCAGGTGGCTGTGTCCCTATGTTATACCACGGCGATTGTTTACCGGCGCGCTTGCGCGCCAAATAGACTCAAGCCGGTAATTAGAGTCGCGGAATTCTCTAGGAACTCTACGCGTTTACCTCCGAGATTACCGCGTCACTCCATTCTAAAGCTCTATTTCTTGCAGCACCAATACATCGCTGGTCTGAAATTGTCGAGCAGAAGAAATCCGATAACAACCCAGTTCGCGCCGCACAACACCAGACCTGGTCAGAGGTTGAAAATGGGTGCGTGAAGCGTTTATGGGTGCCCTTGCGTCAGAGGCAATTGAAATGCATCACGCTGGTATACGGACTAAAGTATAAATCGGAGTAAGCAACGAAAGAAAATTTATTGACTCTATATTTTTCGAAAATCCGAAAGTCGTGTGAGCCGACGTGCCCCGGCAGGGGCGCGGAGGCGAAGCACGACTGAGGATTTGAGAAAAAAGAGCCGTAAACGTTCGATGCAAATCAACCGTGGAAGGCTTTGAAAGTGTCACGGTTGTGAATATTCAGCCGATCACCCAGCGCGACTGGTTTGCTGTACGAAGCCATGAAGTTGAATTCGGGGTACGCAGTCCCAAATTCCTTCCAGGCGTCGCCCAGATCATGCCAGATGGGACCCAAATTAATGTCGTCCCATACTGGATTATGGGTGAGTTTAAGAACATGGATTTCCGGATCACCGACGGTGCCTTCCGACACTGGCGGTTTGAGCGCAGTTGGCCGCTCAACCCGGTAGTCTATCTCCTTAAAGACATTTCGAAGCCATCGGCCTGGATAGCCGCGCGCATTGAGTCTTCGCGCGAATTCCGTTCGGATCTCGGCAAAGTCGGATTCCTTGGAGCAAATTCGAACATATCGAATCAGCTCACCTTTGACCCAAGCACGTTTGGAGTCAGCGGAATGGCACGAATTCCAGGGGATGTAGAGGTAGGCATTCATAGCCTTTTGGAATACATTCGTGGATATCTGCAGTTGCTGGTTAAACAATGCAGGTCTCAAAGGGTCGGGCCCAATTGAGACGTCTATATCCAGGAATGGGAGTCGGTGTCGAGACACTGTCCATTCCATCCTCATGTTCGGATGTAAGGATCCGAACCGCTCTTGAAATCTCGACACGTCTGCATGCGTTCCTTTGATGATAGCAAAAATATCATCAATGAAACGTTTGTAGAAGAGGATAAATGCCTTGAATTCTTCGAGTGCAGGGACCTCATAAGAGGCAAGGAAGAGGTTGGCGTAAGTAGGGGCGCACGAGGTCCCCATAGCCGTACCTACAACCTGACGGAACGTTTTATCCGCGAACCGGACATAGTTGAATTTGAGGATGATGCGAAGGAGGAGAGTAATCAACTCCTTGCGTCCTTTAATTCTCATGCCGGCAGCCTCTCCCAGGTTTGAAAACTCCATGGGTGAGGTTTCGAGGATCGCAGCAATTTGAGCTATTCCGTCATCCATAGGGATATTGGGATACATTGCTACAACGTCTCCTGTGACAAGCCAAATGTCTTCTCCAGGTGGCAGCTGTACCTCAAGAATCTCTCGACAAAATGTTTTCGAGTCGCGGAGAATCCAGGGGAAGTTGTCAAGGAGCGGTTTCAAGCATCTCGAATTCAACACTTGGCCTGATCAACCAAGTGCGTGTTATTCTACCGAATTTTTGCTAAATTTTTTCTACTAGACATGTCTGCGAAAATTTCGCGTACGCTGAAGCGGCAGACCTCTATCCGCAATACCAAGAACCTTGCGGATGAGGCGGCTGCCGTTGGTGCGGCCTTTGACACAGTTGTCAAGGACACCAACACAGAAATCCTGGTCGGTTGTGCAGCAGCGCAACTGTCCAGTGATTTCCCAGATGACCCCGACTCGGAGCTTGCCCTCGCAGCCAAGTGGGGGCTGCCTCCTTCAGAGGTAGCAGCATCTGGTAGCGGAAGATTGACGAGAAGATCTCGGTCAAACCCGCTCAACCGCCCAGAGTCATCCGGTTCCATCGTGGGAACTGTGGATGAACCGGCGGCTAATACTCGTTTGAGCGCCGGGCTCGCGATGGATCCAGGGCAGGAAATGCCATCGGATTTTAGGGACGGGACGAACCATGAATTTATTCTTGGCCCCGCGGAATGGGATGACGGAAATTGGACACTTGTTCCGAATAAATCGGGACAAGGCGAAGCGGAGGGCGCAAAATCAGGCGCATCTGGCACTTCCAATAAACAGCACATCCCACAGTTCATAATCATTCCTAAATACTTTCCTGACTGGTTTGACCTGAGTATGGATCCGGATACACTGGGACCCATTCCTGAGGAATGGTTAGCACCGGTGTCATCAACGGCTAGTCCAGACGCTCCTACCTTACCAGATTGGGCAGCCATTGACTTGGCAATATTTGAGGAGATTATGGATGCATTGACCGATGAGGAGAGCACATTGGATAGAATGGCACAATATTACTCACCGGTTGTGAACCAGACGGATTCGGACATCGATGGCCTTGAGGCGCAGATGCTGAACTTGGCAATTACGGAATCGATGAAGAACTCGAGGGCCACTGGCCTGGGCGAGGAAAGGAGGGCGGGTTCTTCGAAGATAAACCTGGGAACAGTGATTGTTGAGGTGAACACCGATGGCGAGACAATGCCACCGGGCTCACCGTTGCAAAGGCCACGTGCACCACCGGATGTAAATCCTGGAAATAATGCAGGTCCGTCCAAGGGAAAATCGGTCGCACCAGATGAGAAAGGCCCGGAGTATGATCGTCTTCATCGCTCGGGCAAGGGCAAAAAGTCTGGTAAAGCAAAGAAGCCTGAACAACCTGACAAAACCAAGGAGAATCACCTGAGACCTGATCACTTCAAACGTATATAAGTAATTAGCTCGTACCTACTTAGTTGAGTTTTCTGGAAATCGAGAACCTTACTACGCATTCTCGCTTCTAAGCTTCTCTCTAGAATCTCTCGTGTGTCACCTAGTCCTTACGCTTACCAACAAGCTTCAAGAACTTCGGCGACCTCACAGACTCCAAGAGGATACAAAACAACGCGGCTTGACCTTCAGTGGACGGTAGTAAAAAAACGGAAGGGCCGCTGCGAGGAAGATGACTTTGGTTTTGTTCCAGGTGGCCTTAGACCTCCGGGTGTCCTGTTGAGGCACACCGACTGCCACTATACATAATACCGCTCTTCTCCGGATCCATGTCGAAGGATGGTCGAAAGGCAAAGCGAACTTAGCGAAGAAGCCTGCTGCGATCAACGACTGATATCGATCTGATCCGTTATCCATCCAGTGAGAATCCTCTCTTGACTTGAACACAGAGGTAGTTTAACCTGCATGGAGAATTTCTATTTTGGGTTGATACATCCGGATGCAATTCGGATGATGGCGAAAACGACCTGACATGACTACTTTTGTATGTGTCAAAGCTTGACATATGCAAACGTAGTCATTCAAATGATCATCCGAATGTACGCTTTCGCAGCTCATAATCGCATTCTCTGATAACCTCGAGTGCTTCCGGACTGAAATTGAAGGCAAGAGCTCCAAGAAACTAAACGGAAACCGGGAAATCCCGTGCCGAGCGGGATGATGCCGACTTTTCTCACGTGGTTCAGCTTGTGGTTGAATTTGTTGTTGCCGTTCATTCCTTGCGTAGTGCTAATTTTAGTGAGATTTTAGGACTGGGGGAGTGCATTACACGTTCCGTCGAAAGAGTGGCGGAACAAAGAACAAATTGACGAGCCGATGTGCGGGATTCGTTTTAAAACCCCCAAGACTGCATTGGAGGTAGTTCCCACAAGCCCATTCTCGGTGGCAATGTTGGAGGGAAACCCTGCCTGCAAATGCAACTGGGACGAGGAATCACTGGATTGAACTACCCAGGTTGATTCAAATGGCAGTTCGAGTTTGAACCCGCTAGGGAAGCGAGACCTTGAACCCGCGCTAAATCCTTCGATTGTGAGGCTTGTGTTCGAGCAGATTTTAAACCTATATTAGGCCCCGGAGGCTTCTGTTGAAACTGTAATAATAAAGCAATTAAAACTTGGAATCTAAACCCGAGTTCGACCGCCTTTCGAGCCCCAGCGCAAAATCTGGTTACCGCACTATACCAATTCCCTCCTTGGGATATTTCATGAATGGGCCACAGAGTTCCAAGCAGTGATACTTTTTTTTCTTTCTACTATGTTTCTGTTGCTTTCCGCTCCTTCAAGTTTCATCTGGAGTTTGTTCTTTGCCTGCGCATAACTCCGGATAGGAAATTCCACCGAGGGCAAACGAGGCCCGGTAGTGTACATATGTGTAACGTATCCCACCAAGCATCTGTGTGCTTCATCGTGGGACCTGATAAGTTTAAGGATCCTTTTTTATTTTGTTCGTTCACCTCCGTCACAATCCTGGAGCGTCTTCGTTGCCACACTTAGCCTTTCATCCGTTTGCAACAGGATGGGATATGCAATTGGTTTAATTTGTTATCACCGCGGAATTTAGTTCAATATCACTCAACCACCTCTTTGCTCCACTCCTAAAGATGAGAACCAACAAAGGCAGTCCAGGCCCGGTGGTGTACTGGTAGCACGTCCTCTCACATTGATCCACCGAAGGGAATATTATGAGGAAGTACCTTGTCTGAGCTGGGGCCGAGCGTGTTTGTGTCATTTTTTCGTTCGCCCCTTTCCTTCCTGGCTCTTCTTCTGATGTCTCTTTTTTCACCTTGCCGCTGTATTGCCTGGTACAGGACTGATTTCAAATGATCATGAACACACGTATTAGCTTTTTTTTAAGTTTCAATTCAACTTTATCTTTTCAGACTCCAGGTGCTCCTACTCATCCGGAAATCTAGCTAAGTCACGATGGCCTGATGGTGTAGTGGTAACACGCTCTCTAATGTTGATGTTTCTATGAATTTACTAGCATATGAGGAAGTGTCCCGTTCGATTCGGGGCCAGGCCGTAGTTTTCTGTTCTTTTTAGTAGAGATTTCACGATACCTGGCTTGCTATGGAAGAGATGTAGGTTACTTTTATGGGCGAACGATATATCTAATCGGGGTACAGTGTATTTTGTCGGGAGGGAATGGATGTCATTGTTGATACACGGGGCGCGTACGTGAGTTTTCCGCGGCGCTGCGATATTCTACGAGTCATGGGGAGAAGACATCGTACTCGTCGACGGGTCAGCGACGATGGACCATGCAACACGGTCGAGTGGGTCCGGCGGTTCAATACCAAGACCTTGTGTTCGACGATCTAGAGGCCGCTATTTGACCCATCGAGATCTCGGGTCGGCGGTGAATCGGATCGACACGGCTGGATGCGATGCCCGACTTGAATTGAGCAAACTCCTGGAACGAAGCACTAGACACAGCCCGATGCAGAGCGTGCCGATGTCGATGTGTTTAAGATGTCATTCACGGGCCCACCCACCAGTCCCGTCTGACGTCGGGTGTGCCCAGGTTCCGTGGAAGAAGTTGGGTCCCGGTGCTAAGTTTGGGCGCTACTATGAGCTTTACCAGCCCCGAGACCGAATCGATTGAGCGTTACACCGACAATGATGACTGACTCGCTGGTGCTAGACGAACTATGATAGTCCGCCCAATGGCGCGAGGGAAACAAGAGAGTTTGCAGCGAGTTTTGTCTCGAAAACAGATCCCAAGTGGAACAGCGGTATTCGCAAAACAGATGCCAAGCGGTCCGCAGTACTGGAACAGAGGGGATCCATCCTCGACGCTCGCTCCGAGTCGTGTACTTACGCAGGTGCCATGGTCGCGGAGTGAGCGCCCAGAAGTCAAAGGGAGTGGGTTGAAAGCGTCGAGGAGCGCCTCAAAGTGCCCGCGCGCAGAATCTAGCGCTAGCAAGGCGTTGTCGTGAAAATGGAAACCATCAACGACCCAGCCAAATACTCCCAACATCGCGGCACCGCCACATACCTCAAGAAATCGAAATCTCGCCGTCGTCGCCCACCTCAAGACTCCCACTGTGAGTCTCTCCTTTTGAATCTCTGTCCGTTCGATAGGCAGCGTCCGCTCGTCCGTTTGGTGCCCCGTTTGCAGTGAAACGAGGCCAAGGAGGCTGGATGCAGGCACCAAAATGCGGATGTCATTCAAGCGAAAATTTTCTTTGTATTGACTGACTCTGCTCGTCTGTTCTTTTAGATGGTATGTCCGTCCCTCGAGACAGCGGAGAGTGTGCGCTGATATTGGGGGACTTTTGTAGAAGGTCGAGATCGACTCATTCTCCGGGTTCCGGATCTACCCCAGCAAGGGCAAGCTGTTCGTTCGCGGGGACTCTAAGGTGCGTCTGCTTGTCTTCCCATACGTCCTATGGTAATGAAGTCCATGCTCGCAGGTCTTCCGTTTCGCCTCCTCAAAAAACGCGTCCCTCTTCCTGCAGCGCAAGAACCCGCGCAAGATCGCCTGGACGCAGGTCTACCGGCGCATGCACAAGAAGGGTATCACCGAGGAGGTTGCCAAGAAGCGTTCCCGCCGCACCGTCAAGCACCAGCGCGGCATCGTCGGCGCCGACCTCTCCGCCATCGCTGCCAAGCGGAACCAGACCGCCGCCCAGCGGAGCCAGCTGCGGCTCAGCGCCATTCAGAAGGCGAAGACGGAGAAGAAGGAGAAGGAGGTGAAGAAGGCCAAGGTGCGTTTGTTTCCTTATGTCTTTGAAAACTCGTACTAACGAGTGTGCAGCCGGCACGTTCGACGGGGGCCGCGGGCCCGAAGGTGTCGAAGCAGCAGATGAAGGGTGGCAAGGGGCGGTGAGCGCTAGTGCTGGCGTAGAGGCGTCGGAGAGAGTTTTCGTTATGTTTTATGTCGTCGCACCACACACCAAAATCCCGATGGTCCATGCCGCATGCTTCATGACGCTGTTACCTACTGGTAGATGCAGATCTGAGTGTCGAACGGGGTCGTGTACTGTGTATTTGAATTTCCGGACGAGATGAGCTCAATGACGCTCAAAGTGCCACTTGACTCTTTTCCGTTCCTTTTTCCTTCGACACGCACCGTCCGTGCAACAGCGGCTAGGCGGAGACCGTGCGTATGTAGTGATGTGCATCGACCTGCGTGACTCGGCGAGGTAGCCTGCTGAGTCGTCTGATCTGCGCGCATAGGCTCGTTTCAGCCTCTATAGTCTACTGGCGTGCTGAAGATAGTCTTGAATTCTTTGATGGGGGACTCGCTTTCTCTCCCAGATTCCCACAAAGTACCAGATTTTCTCACGGATGTTTGCTATACTAATAACAGGATTTTTTGAAAACAATTTTTTGAGAATTTTACAATGAAATATGAGGCCCTTTCTTTTGCACGGCGCTTGGGTGGATCTGTGATAGAGTGATGGCACGCGACCATCGGATTTTGCTCGGATCTTTGATTTCAAACTCCGAGGCGGTTCGTCCGAGTCGTACTCGTAGATCCTAGCCTACTGCACACCATTCACTCCGAAAGCGCCCACTCTTGCCAATTCGTTCGGGGCGCACCCACCCTGGTCAAAGGTCCTTTCGATATTCGCTCCGGTAGGCTCCGGTGCCGTTATGGTCCCTCCCCAATCTCAGATCTCATGCGCCTGGTACAGCCTGGTACCTCTCGGCATTCTTCGAGCCATTTGAGCGAGAAGCTTATTTATTTATTGCTAACTTTCCTCTCTATCCGTTTTCACCTCGGGCCTCGTCTTCTCTTCTCTTCTTTCTGCAGCTCGAACGACGGAAGACCAAGACTCTCGCATCTCACCTTGTCTCATTCTACAAGGATCTCGTTTCTTTTCGTTTCGATGGCTCCTTCCTGGTGGATCTCTGGTATATTCTCAGCCTCTGCAAGCCTCCGAGGCGCCGGTTCCGCCCTCTGAGGAACGCGGCGGAGTGGGTTAGGTGCAAGCGCTCATGTGTTCGCACATACAGCACATCCAAGAATAAGACGCCCCCATTCAATGCATCATCCACGTGGAACAGCACCCAGCGACACATTGCTGTTGCAAGACCGTGCCGGGGCGCGGCACTCCACTTCGAGAAGAATATTGACTGTGAGGCGCCGAATCTCGCCCTTATCTAGCGCCCAACCGTCCCTTAAAAGCCGACGTTTCCGTCCCGTAGCTGACATTGCGTTCTCGTTCATTATGGCGCGGCTCGGGTTTGTCTATGCTCTGGCCATTCTCTGCATAGTCGGCCAGGCTTTCGGCCAGCTCAGCATTGCTACCCCGTGCGTGTCGTGTTTCTAAATCCGGGCCTGCCCTTTGATTTTTGTCGCTTTCAGGTCGGACGTAGGCGCGTCCTCTGTTTTTCTACTCGCTCCTTCGCCGTCTCAGCCGTCGTAAAATTTTAGTGCAATGCGGAACTGTCGACGTTGAATGGACCTCGGACTCGGAGGGTACGACCCTGCTCTTCACGAGCTTGCTGAGAATTAACGCGTGATTTACGACAATTAGGGCCGTTCTATCTGGTGAGTCCACTGCCTTTTTCGTGGGCACTGCCGCGCATGATCCTGGATATAGAGGTACGCCGCTCCCAAATTCATGTATCATAATTTCAGTTCTCGGGCCACCAGTATAAATCCGACCACCGGCGACAACGTCGGGCTCACCGATCTGAGTGGTTTCTCATTCACCTGGTCTCCTGTCACTTTTCCCAGCGGTGAGTGCTTTATGTATGCGCGAGTTGCATGGCCAAGTCTGTGATTCTAAACACTCGACGCAGGGACGGTGCTGTTCCTGGTGCTTTCGACCCCGGGCGGCGCGGTCGCCCAGTCGGATTCTTTCACGGTCGGATCCTCCTGTACGTAGCATTCAATCCAGTGCTCTGACAAACGCATATGTATGCTGTTACACTGGACAGTGGACAGCAGCTGCTTGACCTCGTGAGATTCTTTGCATTCGAGCTGAAGGGCATTAGCTGAACGCAGAGTCCGTAGGACCAACAGCCTCAGTTCAAGCGAGCCGGCTTTGAGTACGGACCCAGCTCCGCTAACTTCAAGCACCGACCCAACTCCGCCGACTTCAAGCACCGACCCAGCTTCGAGTACGGACCCAGCTCCGCTAACTTCAAACACCGACCCAACTCCGCCGACTTCAAGCACCAACCCAGTTCCGCTAACTTCCGGGCCCAACCCGGCATCATCTAGTTCGTCCCTGCTCCAAACCATCCCAAACTCTGGCCCAACATCCAGTTCGCCATCGACGTCGGCCTCAGCGTGCGTCGTACCCCAAATACTTTTTCCCACTTATGTTATATTTTAGGGCCCCTGCGAGTCACCACTCCGATTTTGGGGCCGCGATAGGCGTCGTCATTACCGTTGTCGGACTGGTGCTGATCGGTCTGGGGTGGTTGTACTTCCGGAGCGCGCGCAGGGAAGAAGGAAATCGCCGCGCCCAAGATCAACCGGCCATGGCAGGTGCGTAAATTGTGCATTGGCCTGGAAATATCCAACAGCTCGTATAATTCCAGAGGCGGGTGTCATTGGATCGCGCCGGACGACGTCGCAGCAGACGATGACAACCACACCAGGTATGCCTCTCGCCTTATTCGTATAAATAGAGCTTTCAGATGCGAAATTGTTCTAGGGTGGAGGCCGCCGGAGTGGGCGAAAAGGGCTGTATCGGGTATATTCACTGTTTATGCTCGAATAATTATGCTCACTGCCCGTACAGGTCCGACTACACTATCGTCCCCTGCAGCTACGCTGGTGCCCCTTGCAGCCGCGACACCGTCTTCACCTGCGGGCTCTTCGCGCGAATGGGAGCTCGAAGAACGTGTCCGGATGTCGGAGTCCATGGTGGGTGCGTACATGCCCACCGGATCACATTCGAGACCTGGCTCTGGGCTCGTTTCGAGCACGTATTTGGACGCGTCGCGTATCGACACTCGCGGGGGTGTCGATGACCGGATATCGACCGACAGCAGCTTGGTGAGTTGTCCCAAGACATCCTGGATTACCGTCTCATTGTTCTCGTTCTGCAGGACACT